TGGAGCCTGAGCATGGTTCATGTCCCGAACACCATTCTTGTTTCGGATCCATGTTTTAGTCATGTTTCAATTTTAGCTCTGCAAATGATGGTAGGATTGCAGTATCTAATGCTTTTCTTGTGGATTTTTTACTTCTTGTATGTTTTTTTCTTTTCGAAATGGATGGATGAGTTTCTTTGCCTTTTCATAGCGCCTTTTTCTTTCTTCCACTGTTTCTTTAGCGTTGAAATGCTAGATATGTCAATTCAGTTTCTACTAAGGATTCTCAAACAATTATTCAGATCGTTAATCTTCTTTTTGTGCATCAGTGGTTAGTAGTTAATTGCTACACGCCAATTTTGTTCTTACTTCTAATGATTGTGGTTTAGATCCTTTAGCTTCTGTATGGATTAGCATTTCTTTTTTCTGACAAATTATTTGCTTTAGTTTTATTGCTTGAGTGATTTGTGCTTGAAGGTTTTTTTGGATTATCATTTTGTATAGAACATGAACACAACACGCTGAGAAAAACCCAAATCTGGGTTTGAGAGATGAAAAAGAAGGGAGAAGAGAGAGAGAGAGAGAAAGAATAAGAAGAAGAAGAAAGAAGAAGGATGAGCAGGGAAAGGAAGAAGGAAAGAAGGAAGAAGATGAAGTTTGAGAGAGAACCAAATCCCAGATCTGGGTTTGCAGAGGTAAAGGAAAAGGAAAGCTAAAGGAGAGAGAAAGTGAAAGAGGAAGAAGAGGTGACCTGGATAAAAAAAAATATCATTAATTTTTAAATTAAATAAAAATGCCAATTCATAGGCTAACTAATTCCACGTCATTAGTTAAAAAAAAAAAAGAATTGATTTGTTGACAAGTTACATCTGTCATTTAATTGACGAAAGGATTGTTTTGGTACCAAAAATGAAAGTTTAAGGATAATTTTGATACTTTTTAAAGTTGAAGGACAATTTTGATGCCAAAGTAAAAGGTTGAGGGACCAAAATGGTACTTAAACCTATTTTATATCTTAGCATCTGCAGTAAGTGGAACCTAAAAAGAACCTCCCAATAACTACTCTTACCTCAGTCTCGACGGTGGCCTGTGGCCATGGCCTTTCTTCAACCTTCGTATCTTTCTTCTCTCAACTCCACCGCTCTCTTCCCCTTCCAGAACCGTCGCAGCAACTGCCCATTCCGGCTCTCTTTCTCTCTAAACCAATCCAATGACGAAGCCGCAAAGCTTGCTTTGGAGAGAGCTAAAGCGTACAAGGAGTCTCTGAAACCGAATCAGGATGCCAAAGTTAAGCAAAACCCAGGTCAGGATTTTCATGGGAATCTTTTTTCTTTCATTTGATTGAGACTTGTTGATTTCCAAGAATATGGGAAAAAGCAGCTTCCTTTAGGCGCGGATGGTGAAATAGAATTCATATACTTTCTGGTTTTTGCTTGTTATTGATAAAAATAGCATTTTGAAAAAAAAAATTCTTTGTTTAAATTGGGAGATGGGTTGATATTTAGGTTTGGAAAGGCAGAGTGAAGGTAAGGAACCAAGCAAACCTTTGACAGTTTCAAGTATAGATTTTATGGGGCTTGACTTTGCGGATAAGAGAAAGGACAGAGGACCACCACCTGGACTGGTTCCAATTGTAGACCCTTTTCCAGAAGTCGACTTTCCTGAGGTGGAGATTATTGTTGGGGATACTAGCAAGTTTATGGAGGCTACAACAACAGACTCAGAGGCCAAGCCAAAAACGTCTGATCCTAGGCCAAATACAGACGATGATACCTATCTATACAAGCCAAAGGTCTCAACGTGGGGAGTATTTCCTAGACCTGACAACATCTCCAAGACGGTATGGCAATAAAAAATGTCTGTCTTTGTTTTAACTTTTAAGTACTGCTGTTGATCCTTTTAATAATCATGTTACATTACACACGTGATAAACATGTTGCCCAAAGCATGAGTCAAAATGATCTCAATTTGATGTTGTTACTTTGAACTAATATGTGGGATTGTAACTATAGCTACTTAGCTGCTGGTAAGATGCTCATTATTTATTGAATGATGTAGCAGAGTAAGGAGACAATTTCTACTTCTCTGGCTCTGGAATTTAAACTTTTATTTAACTTAAGCTATTCTTGATGCGGGCAAATTTCTTTCTTTCTTGGTGTTAGTTTGGTGGTGGAAGGAATATTCGACCTGGGGATGTGCTGGAAACGGAAGAAGAAAGAGCTGCCAAAGAAGAGCGCACAAAACAATTGATTTCTGCTTACAAAAGGAAAGTCGGATTAAGTGTTGATCCAAAGCTAAAAGCTGAGTGTCAGAAGGTATCTAAATTAGAGGCCTTGCTTAATTTTTGTTTGTTACTAGGACTACATTTGATGGTTTCTTAATATAGTTACCTGTAAAATGGTACTCTATTTTCCTTTCCCAACACCAGTCACCTTTCCCAGTCTGTTCCACATGGGACCACGTACTATATTTTGGGTAGATGACCTTCAAGAATTAACATCATCGTATTCTTGGAATTAGTTTACTGTCTGGCACGAAAATGTTTATGCAGTTGCCATTGTACCAGGCCAGCTATCTGCCCCGTAGTGCCCCTAAAACATGAGCCTACTTGTAATCCATTGCTCAGGACATTGTGAAATTTCTAAACTATTGTTAACAACCAGTCAGACGACCGAGATGATGAAAGTTAAGGTTGCAAAGATTTTGGGGTGAAGTTGTCAACTTCAACTTTGATATATAACCTTTTTCTTGAATTAGTTTCTGTAATTACAGGCATTGGAGGATGGTGATTCCTTGATGGATTCTGGGATGCTTAAACAAGCTTTACCTTATTATGAGAAAGTAATGGAGAAGATGGTTTTTCAGGTGATTCTTCAGATGATGTACACTCATTATCTAAATAAATTAGAATATCAGTTTTTCACAGATTCACTTTATCCTTGCACTGTAAATAATTTTATTTTCATTTTCTCTTTTCTGTTCGTGTGTGGTTACCTTAGTCTGATGCATAAAGTTTCTGATTGTGCAGAGTGAACTTCATGGATTAGCTGCTTTGCAGTGGTCTATTTGTGTAGATTCACTTTGCAGGTATATTTATCTTCCATTGATCTGTTAGAACCATAACAGAGTATGCCCTTCCGAATTATGATATTAGATATATATCATAGATCAAAGTGCTTCCTTCTTTTATCAATTTTTTGAGTTACATGGGCTGATCAAAAAGGGAAAAAAAAAAAGGAAAGAAAAAGAGTTACACAAGGGGACACCCCAACATAATGCTTAGAGTTAACCAGGATCTCAAAATTTCTTAAAGATGTTAAGAATGAGATCCTTTCATTGTACACGCGCAAAGTGAATTCTTCTTGCCAGGGCATTAGTTAAAATGATGGCTTGCTTTGCAAATAATGATCTTTTCATCATTTATTTCAATTTTCATGGAATAGCATTTGATTTGAAACTTTTTAAAACTGCAACTGATGATCTCAAACTCTAATTGTTGCATTTCCTACAATTATCTTGGTTTCAGAGCATTTTCTTCTGTTTTATCAGCAAAAATATATGGAGGTATGCTCAATGTTGTTGAAAACTTTTATAGTAATTTTGTAATCATAAACTGTTACAATTGCTCACAGGTCAAATGAGGCTAGAAAAATGTACGAAAAACTCCAGTCTCACCCCAGTGCTGCAGTGAGTAAGAAAGCGCGGCAATTTGTGGACAGTTTCAAGGTAATTAATTTTTAGAGATTTAGTGGTGTTGCTTCAGATACTATTAACACAATACATATATCCTGTTATATATCACTTTTAAGCAATATACTAGAAGCACCAGCTTGTGCTCAATGTATTCTGCATTCTGCACTGGGAAAATATGTTGAGTTACAACTGCAATTGCTACTTGTGGCAGGCCATGGAAATGATGAAGGTTACAGGCTCAAATCCATTGCTAAACACAGGCTACCAGAACTATTTTGATACATATTTGGGAGATAAATACAGTTTAGAAGTGGTAGAAGTGGGTGAAGTGGAGGAAGATGCACTAAGTCAAGTCCTCACGTATATGATTTTTCTTATTTCTCCAATTTTTATAGTTTTATTCATTGCTGTACAAAAAGGAAATATTAATTAGACAAAGTTCATCACTGTAACATACAGAGGCACATTACTGTAGTCACCATGTCTGTTTTATGATTAATGAATTATTCAGGAAAAATTGTAAATGCTTCTTCATTGACGTATTTATGTTAGCCTCCAGTAAACCATGAACTGATTTAGATTTTTTTTTAAGTCCACTCAAATGGTAACACCTGAAGGTTTTATTTATTTATTTATTTATGAAAAAATACAATGTTAAGTTAATATCTGTTTTAAAAAAATCAAATTTAAAATTCAACTTGTGAATTAAAGTGAATTTTAACTGCTTTTCATTTAAAAAAAAAATGTGACCCTCACTGCAATCACACGGAAAAACGCTGGTAACACCTGAATGTTGAATCCTAAGTTTAAGTTACCATGACATCCTCGTTTTGGCTACCAAATTCTAACCACAGCCATCGGATAAGGATGTCCTCCCGACAGTCAAGTGTCCCCCCGACAGTCAAGTGTCCCCCCTTATTTATTGCTATCATCCAAACTTTGGAACAATTTTTTGGTTTGTTTATAATAACTATAAAAGCAACAGCTAGTAATAACTTATTTTTACAGAGAGAAATTGAGAAAAATCAAAACTATTTAGAAATTAAAATGTTAGATTTAAATTATGTTAATGAATTAATATATAAAAA